TCTTCTCTGAGCCCCAGCTTCCGCCTCTGCCAAAGGGAGTCTTGTGGGAATAAGATGAGGTACATCAAAGAGTATGTGCAAATAGCCTTTTCCTAACCCTTAGCCGATTTCCACGTTTGGCGGGGTAGATACGGGCAAACGCCCCTCTGTCCACACCTCACCCCTCTTCTAGTCACTTGGCTCCTTTGGCCGCCTGGAGCTTGAAAAGCCAGGGCCCCCACAGGGGACTCTGAGTGGTCCCACGAAAGGGCAATTTGTGCTGCTCTTGGCTTCACTGGATAAGGAAGGGTCCCCAGAATCGACATCCTCAGAACTCCCTTGCCCTGTCTCCTTGTGTGAAAGGGGGTGGTGGCTGCTCCCCACCCTGCACCAGCTGACGTTCTCTGCTGTCTCCAGGAGGTTCCTTTGGAGCTCCAGGAAGCAAGAGGGTTTCCCCCAATCTAGCTCACGCAACAAAAACACTGGGCCCCGACTAGGCATTCATAAAGACGCTGGAAGAAGCTGGCAGCCAGCACATCAGACCCTTCCCTGGGAGCTCTGGGGAACAGAAGCGAGGACGTACATGCTGCAGGGGCAGCACAGTGTCGATCCACCGGGGGGCCAGCCTGTGTGTGGCTGCTTTGTGAACTACTGTTGAGGAACCAGAGCCAAGTGCCTGCCATTGGCTCTGTTCACACGTGCTCAAATATTCGCTACTCATCAATATGCCCTTAGCTTCCACTAGTGCCTTCTGCCGAAAAACACTTCTCACTGGACACGGCCTATGAAAAGTCTACGTGTCCTCTAGAACACAGCTCAAATGATGCTATCTTATTAGTGATCCTTCAATGTTTGCTGAGCACTTACAGAGCAAGGATGGGGCAGCCTGCTCCCTGCAGGGGCTGTGAATTATTTAAAGTCTAACTCCCACCATAAGGCCTTTCCCAGCATGGGTCTGGTAAGAAGGTGGGGGAAGAGACTGATAGGATTCATCTGTGAGTAACTGCCAACAGGACTCCCTGGAGTGGCATCCTGCCGTGTTGAAAATGAGCCCTCTGGGAGGCAGGAGGAGGGATCCCATGACCAGCAAGAACCAGGAGGGGAGCTTGTCCTCTGGATCCGAGATCCCTGCACAGAAACCTCCTGGGTCCAGATGACAGCTTTACCGTCAGAGGAGCAGCCCAGAACCAGGAGCCGGAGCGTGGAACAGAGGGATGGACTTCCCCACCCACCGAGCAAGGTAAGCTGAGTGCTTTTGCGCAAAGCCTCTGGGCTTTTGATTCCGAGACTGGGTTTACACAGCTTGCTTGAGTACTTTCAGGTTGAGGGTCACCACAGAGTGCTACCCCTTAGGGGCATTTACTGAACCTTTGTAGCATGTCCTGGTAAACAACCACCCTGAGCAGCTCTCACTGACATTACAACTTGTTGACTTTCTTCTTAAACTCTTTCATCGTGATTTTGTTCTGTGGTTCCTGTGTAGCCATGGCAATGGTTATTAGAACGAACCTGGAGGTCGATTCCAGACCGCTCATTAGATCTGCACGCTCCCATGAGTATTTCGTCTCGGAAAGCCGCAGGGTTAGTCCTGCTCCATCCTATCGGGTGGATCTGATGAGTTAAAACAGACTCGGTGGCAGGGGGGTTGCTTTTGTTTTAAATTGGACCGCTTCTGGGGGTCTGAGAGCAATAAGGGACTTAGGCCGGTGGGAGCTGTCAGAAAAAATAAACATTGGTGTTCTGTGAGAGAGATGATAATAGAGGTATTTTAAAAGTGGAGTAGGGTCAGAAAGCAACTTGTGAGTGCCAGGGAAGGTAGCTGACCATAATTAATAAGTGAATAAAGTAATTTCATCGTACCCTAAGTGCTGTGTTATGAATTGAGTTGTGTGCCCCCAAGATGTATATTGAAGACCTAACCCCTGGTATCTATGAACTTGACCACGTTTGCAAGTAGGATCCTGGAAGATGTTATGTTAACATAAGGCATGCAAGAGTAAATACTGAAATGTTCTTTTGACAATAAGTGTGACACCATTTCTCTTCCACGTGTCACTCTTTGACTGGTAAACCATACGCTGCCCAATTCAAAACGGCCAACACCAGCCATTTCAACCCACCAACGCCTAGGTTGTTATCTTTATGCGCTCCAACTCAATGTTCATAGCTTCCAATTTTCCTAGAGCCAAACTGTTTGCAGTTTGGCAGTCATTTCTCCTGTTTTGCCACATCAGCAAATAAAGGTCTTGAAAGATTTCCTTATCGTTAAGGCTAATTCTACTTGGAGGAGGCAACCCTTCTCCGGTTGTGTTATGGGTGCCATCCAATCTGAGGGACCTCATCTTTCAGCACCATATCATGCAATGTTCTGCTATTCGTGGCTTTGCACTGGGTAATATTTTTATAAGTAGATCACCAGCCTCTTCCTCCTATTCCATTTTAGTCTGGAAACTACTGAAATCTGCCCACCTAGGTGACCCTGCTGGTGTTTGAACTATCGGTGGGCGATTTCCCACAGTCAGTAGAACTGATGACGAGCACAGAGCACAGTCCTCAGTATAGTACCACTCAACGTACAACAGAAATGCCCACATGATGGAAGGAGACAATGTGCAAGTTGTCGGTTTCCTTTTACTTAGACCCACAATGAACACCCCTGCAAAGCATTCGAGAAACCGAATGGCACAGTGTTAGAAGCCAAGCTGTCACTTTGAGGACTACGACATGGCCTGTTCATTTACCTGAAATACCTGCCAAATACCTGGGCGATGAGTCAGAAAGGCCCACGAAGAGGAATTGATGCATCTGAATCGTGTTGCTGAAGAATAAGACGCCCCACAGACTGCCAAGAGAATGAACCGGTCTGTGGGGAAGTAAAGCCAGCATGTTCCTTGGAAGCAAAGGAGGCGGTCCTCCATCTCACCGACGACGTCAGGCATCCTCTGGGGGGCGCAGTCCCTGAGTAAGGGCATGGTGCTTGGGAGAGGCCCGTGAAAAGGATGGCGAATTGACACAGCAGCTGCAGCAGGGACTCACACCCCCCCATGGATGCTGCTGGAGCATGCAGCATTCGGCGGCGGCTTGTTTTCTCTGTGGCAGTCAGGGTCACGACAAACCGATCTGACTCCGCTCCTGACAGTAACCCTAAGGGAGCAGGTCAAGTCCTAGTCCAATGTGAAGACGAGAGACGTGCGGAGGGAAGAAAGCCCCATGACTGTGGTTTTGCTGCAGGCCAAGGAATGCCTGGAGCCACCCAAACTGAGTGCTGGACCCCCTCCCTCAAACCGCAGAAGGATCCCTGAGCTCAGATTCCCAGTTTCCAGAACTGTGAGTCAGTAAACGTCTGTCCTCGTAAGCGACCTAGTTTGTGATGCTTTGTTACCGCAGCCCTAGGAAATGAAAATGCGGTGCAGAAAATAGTGGAGCTGAATGTGAAGGAGAGTCGTTAGAAGGGAAGCCTCTCTGTAGGGACACTGAGCCACGGATGGAATGATGAGAACGGCTTCAGAAGCTTTGCAGGAGAGCGGGAACAAAAGCCCGGGACGTGAGAAGTATGGGAATGGGGCACTCCTACCCTGAAGACGCAGAAAGAGTTGTCAATGTGTCTGGAATGTAGCAGTGGTGCCAGCTTCATAATGTATCCCTGCAAGTGCTGGCAGAAGCAAACGGTGGGGTTTCTACCTTCGAACTGTTTCAAAGATTCAGGGAAATTGAACAAGTTAGATATCCTAAACTTTGTGGCAGGTTGGGGTGCGGGCTGGGGTGTGGGATTAGCAAGCTTTGCATAGGTCTTGGAGAGAATAAGTTTTACAATGATCAGAAGTCCTTCAAACTACCTATAGCACCCCCTCCCAGGGGGATGGACAACAGAAAAGTGGGTGAAAGAAGACATCGGTCAGTGTTAAGACAGGAAAAAAAATGATAAATTATCAAGGGTTCATGAGAGAGGGAGGGAGGGAAAAATGAGAAGCTGATACTAAGGGCTCAAGCAGAACGAAAATGTTTTGGAAATGATGGTGCAACAAATGTACAAATATGCCTGACACAATGGATGGATGGATTGTGATAAGAGTTGTACAAGTCCCCAATAAAATGATTTTAAAACAAAACAAAAACCACCATGGAGGCAGCTGTTAAGCAATAAAAACAGGATACTGTAAAAGAAAAACAAAACAAACCCTTCAAACAATGGGACAAAGAGAGCAAGTTCATAGGAAACAGCCTACATTTCCCCAGGGCATTTTCAGACCATGGATGGATGTCTCCACGACTCCAGCACCCGCTGAGGTTTCAGTTTCCCCGATTACCTAACTGGCCCTGCCAACCCTTACCTGGATTAGAGCATCCTTGAATACGTTTTAAAAGGAATTTGTACTATCTGGAGGGGGATGTTACATCCTGGGTGTCTTTTAACCAGCGAAATCTCAACAGAGCATATGCCAAACCTTTCCAGTATTGACTAACAGAGGGTTAAGTCTTCCACCACCTTTATCAGTGAGGGGGGCGGGGTAGATGAGTCAAGTTGAGATGAAAACATGAATAAAATATAGACGCTGCTTGTTGTCACTCACTGTATTTAAAAAGTATTCTCAGTTATGAAAAATTGTCAACACGTTTCACGGCTGTACTTAAAAAGGCTCAGATACTTCCTCTTGCTCAGGCTTCAACAGAAGTCAGTAGGAAGAAGGGCTAAAAGCCATGGAAGTCAGACTAGCCCCCTCCAGAAGGCCTCCCCATCGCCACTCTGAACCCCGCTGCTGGTCAAAGTTCAAAGAGGCAGAGGCCCCAGGGACCATAGCCCAGGAGTTGCCTGCTCCCAACCAGGCTTGAGCCCAGGAACTTCGCGCAGGTCTCTTCCCTCCCCTCCTCCGCAGTGTCCATGCCACCTGCGGCCAGGGGCTCCAGAACCAAACGCCCGTCCGTCCTCCAGCATCGCCGGCTAAGACCGCTGCTTTCTCTCCCATCTTGGAGGCACAGCCAACTGTTGGCAAGACCCCCTTCCAGAAGGCTGCTCGCCTCTCTCCTCTCCTAGTCCAGCTGTGGCTTCTGGCTTCTCCGGAAAGCCACAGGAGGACTCCCCGGCTTCTCTGTGCCCACAGTTCAGTCCTCGGGTCTTGAGCTGCAGGGTCTGCGGAATTCCTGCCCATGTTCGTGTATCCACTTGTTGGCCACTGGGAGAGAACGGGAAGGAAGGCAGGAGAAGGCTCAGCAGATGGATAGTAGCCGTCTCAATGCTACTGGCCAAGGCTCACTCCCAGGGTCATGCAAATGCCTCCTTACAATGTGCACCCAAAGCTCCCCACCCTAGTCCCAGCCCCAACCAACTTCAAGATGGTGCTGCTAGCACAGTGGTTCTCAACCTTCCTAATGCCACAACCCTTGAATACAGTTCCTCATGTTTGTGGAGATCCCCCCAACAATAAAATTGTTTTTGTTGCTACTTTCTGTCGTTTTGCTACTGTGATGAATCGGGTGACCCCTGTGAAAGGGTTGCTCGACCCCCAAAGGCATCACGACCCACAGATTGAGAACCACCGTAGCAGATAAATAGCACACTGTCCCCTGGAAAACTGCTCAGCGAGTCCTGTCTATTGTTGACGAGTCTTCGAACCTGTGTGGGCTAGGGCCCTTCATCATTCGTGCAGCTCCCCAAAGCCCGCGCCTTCGTGACACCGTGCAGACTGATGATAGAATGTGACGGCTTCTCTTGGCAATGCCCATCGGAGCACCAGGTTCCCCGCTTGACGGCCGTTTATGCTTCAGACCTAAGTGCCCTTAGGGACCTTTGTGACATCAACACTTCTGGGAGTTATCTTTTCCTGGGATGGCACTAATCCTTGGAGTTGAGGGTTTGGGACTTAGCCACCTATTCCTCCTCAGGAAGCAATTTCCAGTCAGATCAATAGCCCTTTGTGGACACCTGCTCTGAGAATGAAGCCCGGCCCTAGGGGGGCTCGATCTTTGTTTAGGGCAACACAGACTCAGGATCTGATCATTACAATATAGCACGGCCCTGTCATGAAGCTCCTGGAATGGACCAATATGCTATGTCCCACTCACCCCCGATTTCACTTGACTGTGTACCCCTCAACCCAATCTCTCCCCCAGAAAGGCAGGCCTTACCCCACTTGTCTCCCAGCAGGACAGGGCAGCCAGCATGCAGGGTGTCATCGTCCCCTTCACCACTCCTATGCAGGTTCCACCAAAACAGTGCTGCGTTCTAGAAAAACCCAGCACAGTCAGCCCCCATCCCAGTCTTTGGGAAGCACATGACTAGTGCCAAATGCATGCATGCTATTAAGCAGGGCAATCCCATGCAGAGCAGGGCAACACAGGCATACATATACAAAAAATAGCCCCAGTAGCCACTTAATCATTTACGCCTCAGCCATTTCCTAAGGGCCTCCTCTGCTCCAGGCCCTGGGGGTTTTAGACATATCACATCCAAGCTCAGAGTCTAGTGGGAAACGCCAGCACCGGAAGAGGTCACAACGCAGTGTGGCAAGTGCCAAGAGAAGGGCAGACCCAGGATCCCTGAGGCCAGACACCTGGCCAGCACCTCAGGGAGCACAGTGTTTCTCCTACAACTGAGACCTTAACTCCGAAGTTGGCCCCTGCTCAGGACCTTATTAATAACACCCCTGGGAAGAAGGCACGGCCATCAGGGATTACACCTAGGTATTTGGGCTCCAAATCCTACAAGCTACCCAGCCCCTCCCACCCCCACTCCACACACATGGTGCTGTTTCCTCCCTTCAGCCTTGGCCGTTAGAATAGACAAAAGCCAGTGTCGTGAAGAGCGCGCAGAGGCCCTGGCAGCCCCAGCTGCCCGTGGCCTAAAGACGTCTCGGCCCGGCAGCATGTCCAGAGAGCGGACTCCACAGTGGATGTGTGAAAGGGCAGCGAAAAGAGGAAGCCCCTCGAGAGATGGATGGACACGCTGGCTGCAACCGTGGGCTGCAACGCAGGACCCAGCGTGAGGACGGCCGCAGGGCCGGGCAGGGTTTTGGGCTATCGTCCAGATGGGCCGCGAGCAGCAGCAGCAGCATGTATGCCTAGAATCATCAAATGGGTCAGGCCCTGTGCTAAAGACTTCACTGAATTAGGTCAGGATGGCCCGGAAGTTTAATGAATCTGGAAGGTGGGAGAGCAGGCATTCATCAAACATCTCGCCCCTCCCTCTCCTGCGCCCTTTCATGGTCCTTGTCCAGGCGCATCTGCCTTGCCCGTTAACGTACGTCTCTGTGAGCTCTGTCCTGGTCCCTCGGTGCTCCCTGTCCTGTGTTTACTGAAGGAATGGCTGAAGGGACTGGTCGAAGCCAGGGACGCAAAGGTGAACAACACAGAGTTCTGACCTGTGAGGCACTCCCTTGTCAGAGGGCAGCCAGGCATGCAGTCGTTCAGTTGTAATGAAGTGAAAATTCAATAAACGTGACAGACACAAGTAAGAAGATGGAGCCTTTGCATCGGCGCACAAGCACAGACGACATGCAGGCTAGGGTGTTAGTTCTGCGCCCTGTGTACCGGGCCCTGACTCACCTTCACCACCGGCATGCTAAAGTTGGCATAGATGAAGGCCGTGGCTCCGCCAGCTTCCACCGCGCTCAGCTGCAGTGCCAGAGGAAGAAACCAGAGTTAAGGTCACCGCTGCCCACCCTTCACCATCATGGGTTCCACCTGACATCCTGATGCCATTTCTGCATAGATGCCTGCCTGTGCTCCCTGATTTCAATCGAGGGCGTCTGCTCAGTGGCCTGGGCGTCTGCCTGCAGGGCCACAGGAGGGCCACATAGCCGCCTCTCCTCACTCTTTTGGTCAATCCTCATATGAGTGGGTTTCATTGGATCTGGAGATTCAAACTCTTTTGACTGAGACCCTTAGAAAGAAATATGTTTTACAGCACCACCCCAAACATGCACACACACGCTCTTACATGGCTGGGCAACATACAATTACCATAGTAACTGGTCTTCTGTAACCAGGGAACAGATGGAGGAGATAAATTGGGGAGGTCAAGAACGGAAATTACCTCGGCCCCCCACATGTCCTAGTCTCTGGTTGATGCCTGTATTCTTCCCTGCCTGCGACCTCCCATGCCTGTGTGAAGCACCAACTGCAGGTGCCATGGCGGCTACCAGTCCAAATGTGCCCCCAGCCCAGATTGCTCAACGTAGTTGTCCCTCTGTGTCTGAGCAGATGCTCGGAATGGTCGCTAAGAAGCCAGATGTTCTGCTGGAGCTGTCACGCTGGGCCACGGAAAGAAAACACATTGGTGACATCAGAGTCCAAGATGACTGAGTGCCGGCTGGATGGTCCTTCTTTGGCTGCGCCTTTGGAGAGCAGGGAAGAGAGACTGCTGGCAGTGGGCCGGTCTGACAGGGTTTCATCCTTGGCTGTTCTATAGAACCCCATTATTTAACATGCTTATTTCTTCAGTGAGCAGTGCCCAATCTCTTCTGATTCAACAAGTCATTGAGATTCTAATTTATCCACGGAGAAGAAAGTAAAACCATAGGATCTTCAGGGAAGGGGGCAGGTTAGAAAATGAGACACGGACCAAATCCCCTAGGATCAGGTCTGGAACTGGGAGAAAGAGAGCGATTTGGTTTTTTGGGGTGTTTTTTTTTTTTTCACTTGAAAAAATTATTTTATTTAAATTCTATAATTTCAAACTTCAAAATTAGTTTGTATCTATTATCTCACTTAAGTCTCCTGTTGGTCCTAAGCAGGAAGGCTGGCATGGTAGAGGAAGCAAAAGTTTAGGTAGATGAATTATCTTCAGGATCACAAAGTTAATATATAAACAGCAAAGCCAAAATGGAAGCTCAGCTATTTAAAGCATTGCATGGTTATTTCACTGCATTAAATAGAAAGGTAAACTTTAACAATTCTTCTATAACTAACTTAATTTTGCACACTTGGAATGTGGCTTGATGTTGGCTAGAAAGAATGAGCGTGCCTTCAGGAAATACTGTCCAAGATGCAGGGTCTTCAGCCAACCGAGCAGGTCCAGTGGGAGATGGGAGCCGTCAAGATCCAGTGCACCCAGGGTTTAGTCAGCTGGAAGGGTTTACCGCAGGAAGGACCGCACACTTCTTAAGATTTGGTATGAGGTCTTGTGCAGTGTGAGCAGGGTCAGCAATATTGAGACTTTTAGGAGCCCCTACAAAGAGGTAGGTCTGCTGGTGGATGGCACTTGGTTGATTGTGTGAGCACTGGCAGTGTCCACATGGGCTGGTGTCTGTGTTAAGAGGTTTGTTTCTGAAGAGACTTGCTATCCTGAGACTTGTGGACCTGGTGAAGGTCATTGTCTAACGCAACATTCCACTGGAGCATCTTCCTCTGACGTAGTCCAGGTGGTCACTGGGTAGGCTGGAGTCCTCTCCCACTGCTGTGCAGTGGCACCTGTGTACATGCATCTTGTTGTAGATATGCTGATGAAAGGGTTATGTCTAGTCCTTTAGGAAACAGGTACACGTTAATCATAGCAGAAAATTCATGATTAGTTACAGGTTTTCTTGGTACTAACCAAAAAAGTAGCTTGAATCTATGCAGCTATATACAACATTTAACTAATCTTAGCACTTATTGACAATGCTACTAGATGTTCATGGACATATACTGTATGTTATGTCTTCAATGAAAATCATGAGAAGGTGCTGTTACATTGTCAGACCAAGTTAGGAGTTGTATCGACATGGTATTCAAAGATGTGTTGGTTGTAGCAAGCAGATAACACCCTGCAAATCACTCACTGGGGGTTGTAGAAGCAGCGGTCGGCATGTCACAAGGAGGCTGCTTTGATTCCAGTGGAGTCACTGGCATAGGGGTAGGGCTGTATCGTGCCATACAAAGGGTCAAAGAGGTGACATCAGTTAGTAGCTTATCCAGCTGCTCATTCAAAGATTTTAAGTTGGAGCTAAGATCTGTGATAGTTGCTACAAGGCTGGAAATGTCTTCTTGCAGATCTTTTCTAACCTTTGACATGACTTCAGCATCCTTGCAGTCTGACCCCTCCTCCAGCCTCATCTTTTTCATGGGTAGCTCACCGGGCACGTTTTGTGGCTCTGTCATTAGAGATGGTGTTGCAGGCATTGCCTCTGGGCTTGCCGGTGACAGGGGTTTATCTTCTGCCATGTCAGACGCTACCAACGTTAGTACTTTCAAGTGGTTACTTGGACAAATTTCTGTTGATTTTGATACTTGTAAACATAGGAAAATTCTCGCTTCTCTTAATTACAAATCTTTTGAATATGTATTTGTTAATAGACCTTGGAGTCTCCAACTTCTCCAGTTTCCAAGCCCACGAGTGATTTCTCAGTCCTCATTTCCTCGTGATTTGGTTTTTTAATGGAATATAGTGTAGATTTGACCAAAAGTTCTACAGGGAGATAAGGAATTTTCACCACATATAGGAATGTATTGAAGTCCTGGGGGCATAGTGGTTTCTTGTTGGACTGCGAGCCACAGGGTCAGCCGTTCAAAACCACCAGCCACTCTGAGGGCGCAGGATGGGGCTTTCTCCTTGTGTCCAGAGTTACCGTGTTGGAAACTCACAGGGCAGCTCTGTCCTGCCATGCAGCGTCTCTAGGAACCAGCACGGACTCGACGGCAGTGAGTTTTTGTGTTGTTGAGTATCAGAGTGAAACAATACATTTCTCTGTAGGCAGTGCTGTTTTCCGAGATTTCCTCTTTGAATCCCAGCTGCTTCATCTCGACTTTGTCCCCGCACAGACCTACAGATTTATGTAAAGGTCCCTGCATTTCAGCAGCAACTCGTCTGTGAGGCCTCCGAGAGACAGACTCTCGTGTCTTGCCCGAGTTGCTCAGGACCCACAGTGTCTTGGCCTGTGACATCACACCAATTGCACCCTCGGCCACAGCCTTCGGCGAGGTCAGCTCTAGAGACTGTCAGCTTTTGGAGGGCAGGACTCCATCTGGTATGTCTCTGCATCGCCTGCAGTGCCACACCAACGCGCCCTACCAAAATGCCCTCGCGAGTCACACAAGTCCTAGCGATTTCCGTGCTTGCTATCCAAGTAGCTGCTGTAGTCTAAAACTGACACACACAACGGTTGTGAAAGCCAGACAACAAAATAGTGATGTCAACAGTTGATAAGTAAGACAATCAGATAGAGATGTCAACAGTTGATAAGTAAGACAATCAGATAAGAGATGTCAACAGTCATGAAGTGAGAGGCCTTGGCCCCTCCAGAGCAACAGACTCACATAGATCATCAATGTGGCCACTCGGTTCCCGGACTTCATTCTGTACAGAGGGCTGCTCGGTGACTGAGGCAAAAACAAAACACACCATTATTGTCTGCAGAAGGCACTAGCAAGGCAGGCAGGCAGGGCTTGACCACAGAGCGAGGAAGAGCAAAATCGGGGTGTCAAGGATGGCTAGAGCCCCGAGCTACACTTGTGCAGGGTGTGCCCATCTTTACTGGTAGATACTCAACATACTCTTTTGGGGAAACGTACTAGACAATCAATATAAATGAACTGGATGCTCATCCACAGAACTGCCTGTCAATAGCTAACGTGGTATATGAGGGTGTCTTCGCACCCAGGGTGCTAAGTAGTCACTTGAAAGAAAGGACTGAACCCTCCAGCGACCCTTCTTTCACCCAAGGTGGTAATCCTCTCTTCCCTTCTCAAAGCCAAGCTTGCAAAGTAGGATTTTAGAAAGCCGTGGCTTGGGATAAAAGTGAATAAAACATTGGGCAAGGGAAGAGGCAGGCGAGGTGGAGGGTCAGAGACCATCTTGTGACCCACTACCCATTGATCTCAGTCAAAGGGGGAGGGGGCAGAGTTCAAGTAATCAAGATTAGCCAGTGGTAAGAGGGGGCTTCAGTACATTCATGGACAAATATTCCGATGTTTTTCTAAGAACTGTTGGACGCCTCTGTGCATACGTCTCTCTCCTTGTCTCTTGGTAAGCCACATTGTAACCATTTTGGAATCAAAATAGTCTCCCTAGATGCATAGAGAATAACCACTTAGAGGGAAAAACAAACAAATTAAAAACCCTTAGGTTTTTTTTTTTAATAAACTATTGAACATCGTGTATGGATTTGTTTTTGAACTCTATTCCTGGAGCCCTGGTGATATAATGGGCTACTCATTGAACTGCTAACCGCAAGATCAGCCATTTAAAACCACCAACAACTCTGAGGGAGAAAAGGAGGCCTTCAACTCTGGTAGAGTTACAGTGTCTGGAAGCCCAGGGGCAGTCCCGCCATTCCTTTAAGGCTGCTACGAGTCGGCATCAACTTGATGGCAATGAGAGTGTCCCATTCCACAGACCGATGATCTGTCTGTCTCTCCTTACACCAACGCCACACTGTCTTCATCACTGCAGTTCTGCACTGTTTTAGGAGCGCAGGTAGTGCGGTGGTTAAAACACCTGACCACCAACTGAAGTTCAGTGGCCAGAACCCACCGGCCACACTGCAGGAGACGGCTGCGGCCGTCTGATTCTGCGAGGATTTGCAGCCCTGGAAGTCATGTGCTTCTACTGTGTTCCTACGGGGTTACTATGCGTCAGAGTCAACTTGAGGGCAATGGTGTGGGATTTGGGGTCATGTGGTAATCACTTCTTTTTGTTAAAGAATTAATACCAAACTAGTCCCAAGAAGTCAAGTTGGAAAAGTCTCCAAACTCCAACTCTTGCAAGATGCTAGTCTACCTCATTTCCCTCCACTTCTCCCTCAAATATATTCCCTCGTGTCACCGTGAATCACTGCAGTGTCCCACAGAACGCATGAAGGTTCGAGGGATTGTCTCAAGTGGTGGTGGGTACACTTCAGTCCAAAGTCTGAAGGTCACCCTTGAGGGGTCAGCCAGATGCTGGGCCGGGGACATGCTGCACTCCCGGCTCTTGCCGGTGATGAGCTCACAACCCCTGCTTCTCAGTGGACTCATTTGAGAACTCAGCAGACGACAATGCGGGGAATCCTGTTTGCAATTACTCACAGGTGATTCATAGCCGTGTCATCCCCACCTTCTCACCAGACCCATGCAAGGAAAAGTCGTTTGGTGAGAGTTCATGTGGAAATCAAATTTCACCCAAGTGTAAACATCGATTCTCCACCTGGGTCCCTGGAGGATGTTTGCAGTAGACATTGACCTCCTGCTAACAGGTTTCTTTCTCTTCTCAGCTGTAGCATATAATTCCTTACATCCATTCTAAGTAACAGCAACGAGGACCACCATCAAACACAGTGTGGTCTGATTCATACTTCTCCTAAGGTCAAATCTTAATTCCTGTTTCTTAGCAGACAAGGCCCTCAAAAATGGGACCAGAGTCTCAGGCATATGAAATAAAAATGATACCATATTACATAGGGCTTATGCCTGGAAGGGCCATGTTAATCAAGTATCACTCAGGTATGCTACTTTTTAGTTTAGTCATAATACATTTTGAAATCAGGTAGCCAGCACGTGTCCTAATTCTGTTCATTTTCTAAATTGTCTTGGTTATTCTAGGTTCTTTGCATTTCCATATGTAGTTTAGGATCAGCTTATTAATAACTAGCTTTAAATTCCTGGAATTTTGATAGACTTTAGGTTGAATCTTTGTCCAATTTGGGGGAGGTATTTGTAATCCTCAAAATTTATATATGTGAATATTTGCTGAATACTTGTCAGTGAAGATGGGCAGGTGATCGTGAAGAAAGGAGAGTAGCCGGAAGGAGATGCCTCCCTGGGGAGTCCCCAGGTGCTGGAGGAGGGCGTCCTCCACGGCAGGCCGGCTTCTTCTCCCTTTTGGAACATTTTAGAGAAAAGGGGGGTGACCGACAAGGAAATGAGTCTGCATCAATCCTCTTGAAACCAAAGTTCTCAGATATTTCTGGAACCAGAATGCCTGTTGTAAGATTTCACATGTTGTCTCTGAGAGAATGATGCAAACTTTACCCCAGAGAAGTAAATAATCCCCCAGCTCCCTAGCCCAGGAGATCGGTGCTCCACCCCATCCTTACCGTAGCGTGATCAAAGTGAGGCTCATAGTGTCCTCCGATTCCATAGTTCACCACCTGGAGATACTCTGCATAAGGGGCTTGGACATCAAGGCCAGTGAGGGCAGCAATGCGGTGGTCAAGGGTCACCAGCATTGGGTCAACGGTGTCCTTCAGCCAGGCACTAGAACACACCAGAGCTCAGAGCATCAGTGACTCCTGTTCAGAGCCCTGGTGCCGCAGAGACTAAGCGTTGGTTGTAAATAAAGAACGTCAATTGTAGGACAGAAAGAGAAAGACAGGAATGCCTAATGACTTACTCATCCCTCCTCTTGGCTGCCTGCTCCACCTTGTCCTCTATCTTAACACAGTGACATTCACTCAAAAAACATTCGCATAGGCCTACTGAATGTCAGGCCTTGTGCTAGATGTTGAGGTTACAGTGTGAAGGTTCACAGTCCCCTGGCGCTGAGTTAGACAGATTGCAAATTCCTGCCTTTAAAACTGCTATTTTTTAAAGGTATCACAACAGAAGGAGCTGGAATTGGAAAAGGCTTGGGGTCTAAAATATTAAAGACCAGTTCCGGATCTTCTGTGTGATCTTACGCCAACCTCAGCCTCTCCAAGGTGCAGTGTGCTCATCGATAAGGAGTCATAGACGTGTAGAGATTAGGAGAGCCTGTGTCTGTAAAAAGGCTTTGTCAGCTATATGTCAGGGATGGCTGTTAAGCACAGGAAAATCTGTTCTCTGGCTCTGCTCTACGACAAACCAGGATACAACAAAGGCCAAAGAACAAGGGTTAGTGTCTCCTTTTCCTAAATGTTTTGTTGAAACTCTGACAAAGTGTAGGCTTTGGACTCCTGTTTTAAATCCTTGGAAAATGTGCACGTGGTCACCACGTAAAGCTAGTGACCTTCCTGGGGAGACCATGAGGGCTCTGAAGAGAAGAATCTCGGCCTGTCACGGGAAGGCCACTCCTTTGCTCTTTCCATCATGGATTGATGGGTTCATGCTCATCTGGAGCCCCCCACCTTTCACCCCCACCCCCAGAGCCATGCTACACAGTCTTCGGTATACAAAGAAACCCAAGACAAAACTGTTGCCTTCTCAGACCTCGTAGATTAAGAAGATAAAAGTAATCGAGTACAAATGAAGGTCAAGTGCACAGAGAGTCCTTAAAGGAAAGTGCTGGAGAGCACAGAACAAGAGAGCAGTTCTCACTGAGCATGAGGGTGAGGGCTGAGGTGTCAATCAGAGTTGGAAGGTGGATCATGTTTCATTGGGTATAAAAGATGTGTGGACAGTTCCGGGCTGAAGAAACAGCATAACAGCATATGCACGGCTGTAGAGAACTAGAATATATGATATGGATAGGAAATAGATTTGGTCCACGAAAGAAGCACTGAGAGATAAAGCTTTAAAAAACAACACACAAAGTAGTCTCCGGGCATGTTATTGAAAGCAGAAGACACCGTGGTAAACCACCTGGTCTTTACTTTGTAGATAAAGGCTACTCAGTGCTGGTTTGCAGGTAAGACATGATTTAACAGTTAAGGACCTTTTAACGATTGAATTGTGTGTCCCACCACTCCAAATACCTGTTGTCAATCCTAACCTTTATGCTTGTGATTCTAATCCCATTTGGGAATGAGTTGTATTTGCTATATTAATGAGACAGGATTAGGGCAGGTGTCTTTTGAATCAACCTCTTCTGCGATATAAAAGGGACTCCACACGCCATTAAAAGAAACAGAGATGGGGAAAGAGAGATGCCACACCATGTGGTCATCACTGCCCAGGAGCAGAGCTCAGAGGAGACAAAGCCTGTGTCCAAGGCTCATATCAAGGAAATAGGCAAAAGCTACAAACGAGGGCTTGTATTTTTTTCAGAGAACCAATTTGTGAGACATTTATTGGAATCCCACTGCCCTACTTCCTCTCCATCTCAACCCAAATTTGAGTCAAATGGCTCTGTGATGGACTCTGATAGTCTCCTAAAGTCACACCTGTCACTGTGTCATCTGGTTACTTGTCTGATTCCCACTCCAGACTGAAAATTCTTGAGGATAGAGAGCCACTGTATCCCTAGACTCTTCCATGGGGTCTGATTTACAGCAGGTACTAATGAATAGCCTTTGACGGACTGGCCGGCTGCATGAACGGCTGGAATGCATACTTACGGCTTGCTTGCCGTCTCCGGGAGAAACCTGAGCAGAAAAGAGTTCTTGGCTGCCCTCTGCAGTGACCTCCCATTTGCCCAGAAAGCATGGAGCCAGAGTGAGGAAAAGGAGGTGGGTCCTGCTACGGATTGAGCTGTCAGGTGAGGATTTTCAACAGTACGGGTTTTCTTTGTTAGGTTAATATGACCATCTGTTCACAAGGTGTGTCTTAACTCAATCTCTTGGGAACTAAAAGAGATTCAATAAGGCCTTCTCCAGTCTAACTGTGGTGGGAGCTGGGAATAGAGCCAGCTACCCTTCATTGTAAAAGTGACCAGAAAAAAAAGAGGAACTGATACCAGGGGCTTGAGCGGAGAGCAAATGTTTTGAGAATAATGATGGCAAGAAGCGGAGAGCAAATGTTTTGAGAATAATGATGGCAAGAAGCGGTGAGCAAATGTTTTGAGAATGATGATTGCAACAAATGTACAAGTGTGCTTGGCACACTGGATGGATGGATGGATTGCGATAAGAGTTGTACGAGCTCTCAATAAAATGAGGTTCTTTTTAAAGTGACAAAGATAACCACTCCCTCTGCTAAAATCAATGCATCCCACGGTAAGGATGTCTTCTTTGGCACTAGAATGTCCTAAAGACAGAAAATCAATGAGGCTGAAGCTGCATGGACTTTCCAAAGTTTTAAGAAATAACGCACAAGACCAACCAAGCGAAGCCAGATGACTCTGAACCACAGATTTCATCACTCACCTCATTTCCAAAGCAGCCCGAGGCCAGACGGTCTAAACTAACCGCACACACTGAAGCCTGCCTCTCCCAGCAGACGCCGACTACTGTCTGGCCTGAGTCTGGTGGAGGGTCTTCATCTTACTTGACCCTCGGCACTACTGGGGCTGCAGTGTGGGGTGTGTAGGGACCAGGAGGGGATCAAGTCGGTGCTCTCACAGCTGAATCTGTCCCTGGAGAAGCCACCAGTTCCAGAGGTGCTCCTGATGTTTCTTGTCTGAATGCTGGCAAGTCAGGGTTTGAATGTGAGTCACTGAATGCTGGCAAGTCAGGGTTTGAATGTGAGTCAGGGGCGGGAGTGGAAACTTAAAGCAAAATCACAAACGTAGACGAGGCTGTATTCTCTGCGAAAGCAATCCCGGTTTGGAGAACAGCTACATGGTTTTTGTTTTTTTGGCTTAAGATAATAAGAGCTTTCTCATCTGTCCCTCGTGGCCTCCCTGTGAAATCCTCTGGCGATTTAACATCTTGTGAAAGGGCCTGGCATGAGGAGAGTGAAAACTTCTTAAAAGAAAAGCAGTAAGAGCCCCCAATAAAAGTATTTAATTAAAATTTTTAAAAAAGAAACAAAAGCAAAAATTAGGCATGCACTCCAGAGGGCCCACAACCTCTCAGGTGGAAGTGGATGGGCTGTTCTGACCTCGCAGTCAGCTGCGGCTTGGGGTCCAGGACAGGGTGTGGGTGTGTGGGCAGGGGAGCAGCAGCAGGGTTGACTGAGTTGGGGTGCTACCTGCCAGGTCAGCAATCCGAAATCACCAGTGGCTCTGAGAGGAAGACACAAAGCTTTCTACTCCCACAGAGAGTTACAGTCCCGGAGACCCACAGGGCCAGTTCCACCGTGTCCTCTAGGGTCAGAATGGACCAGTGGCGGTGAGTCTCGGTTCTGCTCAGGAGACGCCTGCGTACCTTTTGCTGATGCGGTAGTCCACTTGCAACTGCTTTTCACCGGATGCCACCACGGATCGCTGGAGCTGGTGTGAAGGACAGAAAAACCAGGTTGAGTGGTTATGATGCCAATAACGATCAAGCGTTCATTTCCTTAAGCATAAGGCTCACCAGGTCCTCCCTACATGTCGTGTGTTTTGCACATGCTACTCATTGGAGCAGGAGCGGACGTTCTGTTGCTCATCGGGGCGTTCAAGTAGTTGGAACCCCTCCGATGGCACTTAACAACACTAAGTTACTGGAGTCCCAGGTGGTGGAGCATGCGCGGTGCTCACAGAAGGTGGAAGGGTCTAGACCACCCAGAGGTACCTTGGAAGGCAAGCTTGGTGACCTACTTTCCCCCAAACAGCCACTGGGACCCTATGGAACAGAGCTCTCCTGACACAGAATCACGATGCGTTTGTTTCTAATTACTAATCTCTGACAGCTATGAATCTTAAAAGGAGCCCTGGAGGCGCACTGGTACGTGTTGGTCCGCTAACGGCAAGGGCAACAGTTAGAACCACTAACTGCTCTTTGGGAGAAAGAGGAGCCGCTCTACTCCCGTCAAGAGTTTCCGTCTTAGAAACCCACAGGGGCAGATCTATCCGCCCCAGAGGGTCGCTAGGAGTCAGATCAACTTGATGGCAGTGAGGTTTTATTTATGAATCTTAAAAATGAAAAAGCAACAGTGACCAAAATCCTCAGAGCTGACAGTACGCTGCAGCACCATGCCTGGACGATGGCAAGCGTCCAATAAAAAATGTGCTGACCTGAAACGAATTGATATTAGAATCCCCTTTCCACCTGCAGGCTGCGAATTCTGAAGGAACAAGGGCCATTTCTCCTTCGTCTTGGGGTTCTGGGGTCCAATCCGGGGCTGGGTTTCATGTGCGTTTGTGGAATGAAATGAATGAACAC